ACCTAAAGCTGGGGGTGGAGTGACACAAACCCCTGTGGCCACCACCACTCTGACTGTGCTGTGTCCGACCTGAAGCCAGCTTTTGCGTAAGGCCTGCCGTAACCACTCCCTGGTTACTGCCTGTGTTCACTCAGGGCCCTGGGCCTCTACTATCAGCAGGTGGCAAAGCCAGCCAGGCTTGTGTCTTTCCCTTCGGGGCGGTGAGTTTCCCCAAGCCCCTGGGCAGACTCAGAGATGCTGTCCCGGCATCATGTACTAAAGTGGGAAACCTTAGAAGTCTACCTGGTGTTCTATTGTATTGTGACTGAGCTGGCACTCAAACTACAATTGCAGTCTTTCCCACTCTTCCCTCCCCTTTCCAAAGGCGGAGGAGTCTCACTTTTCCACCACCGCCACCCCAGGCCATGAGAAGTACTGCCAGACTAAGTCCAGCATTCCCTTAAGGCCCTAAGTCAGCTCGTGGTAAACACTGCCTGGCCTGAAACCCTCTTTCAGAGCACTGGGCTCCCCTCTGGCCCAGGGCAGGTCCAGAAATGCCATCCAAGAGTCAAATCCTAGAGTTGGGGACCCCAGGAGCCTGCCCACTGCTCTACCCAACTGTGGCCTTGCTGGTACCTGAAGCCAGCAAGTCTCAGAGGCTCACCCAAGGTCCTGGGTATCACTGCTGGCTATTCAGGGCCCAAGGGCTCTTCAGTCAGCAGGTAATGAATGCTGCCAGGACTGGGTCCTTCCTTCAAGGCAGTGGGTTCCCTTCTGGCCCAAGGTGTGTCTAGAAATGTCACCTGGGAGCTAGGGCCTGGAAAAGGGACCTCACAATTCTGACTGTGCCCTGTCCTTCTGTGGCTGAGCTGGTATCCAAGACGTAAGACGAAGCCCTTCCCACTTTTCCCTCTCCTCTCCTCAAACTGAAGGAAGAGGTCTCTTTTGGAGCCATGAGCTGTGCAGCCTGGGGTTAGGGCAGGGGTGATGCCAGCCCTCCCTTGGCTGATGTCTCAGTAGGCCATGTGCCCCCTGAATCCACTGTCTCTGGGCCTAGTTCAGCACTAGGACTCACCTAAGTGTTGCAGTCCTTATGGCCTAGACTGACTTTCAAGTTGATTTGGAGACACAGAGCGCTGTAGCCCACAGTGGCGAGGCTTGGGGGAACTCGAGTTCCCCCTGCTGGAATTGGAGATTCCCCTCAGGCGCAGGCTGGTTTAAATACTTGGTGATTCAGGACTATTTTTCTATCTCCTCAGTTCCTCTTTCAGCAATATGAAGATAAAACCAGGTACTAGGAGGACCTACCTGATTTTTGGTTCTTCTAAAGGTGTTTTTTTCTGTGTAGATTGTTACTAACTTCCTGTTCTTGTGGGGCATGGGTCAGGTGGAGGTTGATCGGCAGAGACTTCTGCTCTTCCATCTTGCTCTGCCTCTCTTTTGTTGATTTCAATCCAGAAATACTGTTTGCCTGTTGCTGTTTGAGAGGTCATAGTAGCTAACTCGCATGTCTGTGTTTGTGGATCATCATGGTGTGTGTCTTGTCGTTAGGCAAACCTCTGCTCTTCAGACACCCTCAGGAGCAGCTCTGCAGGGACAGCACCGCTCATCCCTCTGGAAGACTGCCCTCTGGAAGCTTTCAGGAAAGGCCCCTGAGAGCACAGTAGCAATCCAAAAGCCACATTCTGTTTTTTATTTTTACTATTATTACATATATATTTTTGAGACAGGGTCTCACTGTGTCACCTAGGCTGGAGTACAATGACAGGATTTTGGCTCACTGCAGCCTCTAGCTCTTGGGCTCAAGGGATCCTCCCGCCTCAGCCTCCCAAGTAGCTGGGACTACAGGTGCATCCCACTATGCAGGGCTAATTTTTTTGTTGTTGTTACCCAGGCTAGTCTCGAACTCCTGGGCTCAAGGGATCCTCCTGCCTCAGCCTTCCAAGGTGTTGGAGTTACAGGCATCAGCCACTGCACCCAGCCTATTTTTTTTCACCATATTAAGAGTCATATCTATTGGCATTTAATGTTCAGCTCTTCACAAACTTGATTTTTCTAACTTTCCAGGCAAAATGAAAATGATTGGAAATTGCAAACCTAAAAGAGGTGTTTGGAACGTGTTTTAGATATAACGGACCATCAGATTTTGAAGGGGGCTGACAGAAAAAGTGAAAACTCTCTACTGCATTGTATTACTTGGCATTCCTTAGGAATAATGTTCATAATGTCTCCTATCTAAGAGGGGGAGGGGAACTAGTACATTTTAGCAAGATTTTTGTCAAAAAACATCAACATTCAAGATATTTTGGCACCAAAAAGGAGAAGTGCCTGGTTTCTGGAAAAATAACTTGAAGTATATGTTATTCCCTAAGAAAGCTGGTAAATAAGGCATCACTGTGTGCCTCTGGCCTCAAGGCAGTCATGAAAGCCTTCATGACACATCTTCTGAACTACTGTGTAGACTAGATCCCCCAAAACCCTTTAGCCAGTAAGGAGCACTGTTACCAAGCTTAGTTGGAAGCCCAAATAGACAGAAGGTGCTGTTTTATTAATACTGCATTTTCAAATATCAGCACAAATGTATTACATGACCTTAACGTATGTTTGTTCAGCATTTTACAGCTTGCAGTAGCCATTATTCCACTTGGTCCTAATGTCCCTATGTAATGGAAATCTTTTCTCATCAACCGATGGAGCATAATTAAGTCTTTTTCATGGCTGCATGATATTCCATCGGAATGGATAACCCATATTTTATTCAAGTGTTTTCCTGTAGCTAGACATTTACTTTGTTTCTGATTTTTTGCCATTGTGGACAAGTCTCGCAGTAGATATACTTTACATATGTCCTCACTTCTGGTGGTTATATTTCCAAGCATTGGGATTGCATCTGGAACAATAGCCAACACTGGGATTCTTGGGTTGAAGGGTATACATATTTTTAATTTGAATAATTTGCTAGTTTGCTTTTCAAAAATGTTGTAGCAGACCAGGTGTGGTGGCTCACGCCTGTAATCCCAGCACTTTGGGAGGCCAAGGCAGGGGATCACCTGAGGTCAGGAATTTGAGACCAGCCTGGCCAACATGGTGAAACCCCATCTGTACTAAAAATATAAAAATTATATTTGGGTGTGGTGGTGGGCACCTGTAATCCCAGCTACTTGGGAGGCTGAGGCAGGAGAATCGCTTGAACCTGGGAGGTGGAGGTTGCTGGAGGTGGAGGTTGCAGTGAGCTGGTGGAGGTTGCAGGAGGTGGAGGTTGCAGTGAGCTGAGATTGTTCCATTGCACTCCAGCCTGGGCAACAACAGTGAGACTCCATCTCAAAAAAAAAAAAAAAAAAAAAGTTGTAGCAATTCATATTTCTATCAGCAAATGATGAGAAATAGTTATCACTCTTTTAAATGTTTGCCAGTCTGATGAGAATAATGGCATCAATTTTTTTTCCTGACTACAAGTAAATATGAACATCTTTTTTTTTTTTTTCTTTTTTTCTTTAAGAGCCAGGGAAACAGTATGCTGCTCAGGCCGGGCTTGAACTCCTGGGCTCAAGTGATCCTCTCACCTCCTGAGTAGCTGGGATTACAGGTGCATGCCACCACAACCAGCTAATATAAACATTTTTATGTGAATTGTCTGTGAATTCTTATGTGAATTATTCTCTATGCATTTCCTCATTGAGTTGTGTATCTCCAAAGAAGATACACAAATGGACAACAAGCACATGAAAAAAATGCTAAACATTGTCCATCATTAGAGAAATGCAAATCAAAACCACAATAAGATAGTATTTCGACCAGGCATGGTGGCTCACGCCCATAATCCCAGCACTTTGGAAGGCTGAGGCAGGCGGATCACCTGAGATCAGGAGTTTGAGACCAGCCTGGCTAACATGGTGAAACCCCATTTCTACTAAAAATACAAAAAATTAGCCGAGCGTGGTGGTGCACTCCTGTAATACCAGCTACTCAGGAGGCTGAGGCAGGAGAATGGCTTGAACCCGGGAGGTGGAGGTTGCATTGAGCCGAGATCACACCACTACACTCCAGCCTGGCAACAGAGTGACAATCCATCTCAAAAATAATAATAATAATAAAAAATAAATAAAGTTAATGATGTTTCTTTTCTAAAGTTCTAGGAAAGGAAAGTGGGTGAGAACGTGGTAACTTTTTTCTTCTTTTGGTTTTCAGTCATACAGCTTTGCTTCATTTAGATATAAAAATGTTCCCTAAAGGGCTGTGATGAAAAGTTGTCTTCTATTGAAGTTTCCAGTGTTGGGGGGAGATTAAGGTAACAGAGAAAGTTCCAAAACTAAAAAAGCCCCAATTATTATAGTAGCTTCTTAACACCTCAGCTGTGAGTCCCTTTTCCTCTCCAGTCCATGGTATGCAGTATTGGGGTGTTAGTCTCAGGGAGCTGCATCACTACGACACTGAGGTGCACAGCCTCACAGCAGTGTACCCTTCAGCTCCTCCCATATTCAGTGTGCCTCTTGCCCTCAGGCCTGGCTCCAGCCACAGCATCTCCCAAGGATGTGCCTGCCTCCTCTTGCTTATGGCCTTTGTCCTGGCTGCTTCCTCTCCCTGCAGTGTTCTTTGTCCTGCACTGTCAGACAAAGCTTTCAGGATTCAGCTTTCAGGATTCAGCTTTCAGGATTCAGCTCAGCCCCTCTTAATCCTCCCCAGCACCCTTTGATGTAAACACTGTTATACCCATTTACAGATTACACAAATGTGTGTGTGTTAGATGTGTTTATGTGTGTGAAAACATACCCATTTTACAGATACAGTCATAGAGCAAACAGAGGCACAGAGATTTTAAGAATTTGTCTCATATCACACAAGAAGTAAATCAAGGAGCTTATTCCAAAGCCTATGCTGTCGATTACCATCCAGTATCAGCAGAGTTGAAAGCAGCATCTGATTGAGACGTACCGTGAAGCTATACTATAAACTCTCAAAAGCAAGACATGTGAGGAAGCTTTGCTAAACCATTTTTCTCTGTCTTTCCTCTTTGGGTCCAGGTTGAAGTAAAGCCATATGTGCTGGATGATCAGATGTGTGATGAGTGCCAGGGCACACGCTGTGGTGGGAAGTTTGCCCCGTTCTTCTGTGCCAACGTCACCTGTCTGCAGTATTACTGTGAATACTGCTGGGCGAGCATACATTCCCGAGCCGGGCGGGAGTTCCACAAACCGCTGGTGAAGGAGGGAGGCGACCGCCCTCGTCACGTCCCGTTCCGCTGGAGCTGAGCCACGGCCGACCCAGCCACAGTACTGGAGTAGATAACAAGGAGGGGAGAGAGAGGGCACTGCCTCAGGGCTTACAGTGTTCTGGAAATCTGTGCATTCGTTCTTGATTTTTAAAGAAGAATTGGGTCTTTTTATTATTATTATTAATTATTATTATTATTATTATTTACAGTCATATTACTGAACTCAGTGTCCAGTATAATGCAGAATTGCAGAGTGTAGAATGGTACTGATTTGCACTTTGATTCACACCTTTGTCTGCTTGGTACCTTAATTTTTTATACCTGATTTGTCACTCGTGACAGTATGTAGGCTGCCATTCTCATTAGCGGCCGTCAGGCTACTGTCTGTGATTCTTTTGTTTGTTGCTGTGGTGGTGTTGTTCTGATTGTTTTGAACTGGAGCATGCACTTATTTTCAGAAACTTAGAGAGTTGCCCCTAGAACAAGACTTACCAAAGGTAATACTCGTGAGTAGGTGGCAGATGTAGCAAAAACTTCACAACAATTCAGCAATCATTAGTTCGGGTCACTTAGAGTAAGGATAACCCTTCATGAAAATAAGCCTTTAGTTGCTCTCTATTTTGACTTGTAAGGATACCTCATAAGCTGGATCTTTTATTTTTCCTTCATGTTTGATTTTTGTTTTGCCGAGGATTTTGGTTAGATCTTTTAGTATTATGTAAATTTATGCTGCAATAGCTTTTGCTGCTATTAAAATGGTATTATTAATACCATAATACTCTATTCAGGCTAAGATATCAATTAAACACAAAAACCCAACAACACACTTTTGTGATTTTAGGGATAGAGTCAGCTGCCGAAAGGAGATCAGAATAGACTTCAGAAAGCTTCGGTGGAAGGTCACTATTTCTGACTGCATGTTTACTTAATCAGGTTGCTGCATGCAATAAATTTTATATCCAATGTCTAGTATAAAACGTTCCCACAATGCACAAATTAAGAATCTATATAAGCTATAAAATACTCATTTTTTTAAAAAAGTTTTTTTCATTCAAAGAATTGGTAATTGACCAGAGGAAGGCATGCCTCAGTAAATGGAATGCTCTGAATGAGAAGAGCCCATAACAGAATGACCTATATTACAACCGATATAAAACCTAGGTGTAGGATATTCTTCAAGCAAATTTGTGGATGGTAGATGAAGTACTTTGCGGTGCTCTGTTATATATTGTGCAATTTATTTTATATAGTAAAGTGATTATGTCTAACTGTGATCAAACTTAACTGTTTAAAGCCTCTGTCAGACATTAACGAACTTGACAGTTCATAACTGGTATATTATAAACTAACACATGAGCTCTTAGTTACAATCTCTTAGTGCTTGCACCATTTTACATAGCTTCAGACCTTGTCCAGAAAACCAAAGAGCTCATCTTAGCTTACAAACACTAAGAATATATACAGGATATAGAGATAAGTTGTCAGATTGACAAACTAGGCACATTTTTAAGAAAGTTGTGTAATGGTGATGCTAAAGAAATGTCTGTACAAAATAAGATGGCCTGGGCAGAGTTGGTTGTCTGGGTGAGAAACTAACTACTTAATTCCCTGGATTTATCCTGTTAAGCTTGAGTAGAATGAAGGCCTGCTGGCACTAGCGTGGTCTAGAATGAAGGCCTGCTGGCACTAGCGTGGTCTAGAATGAAGGCCTGCTGGCACTAGCGTGGTCTAGAATGAAGGCCTGCTAGCCGTAGCGTGGTCTAGAATGGAGGCCTGCTAGCCCTAGCGTGGTCTAGAATGGAGGCCTGCTAACCCTAGCGTGGTCTAGAATGGAGGCCTGCTGGCACTAGCGTGGTCTAGAATGAAGGCCTGCTGGCACTAGCGTGGTCTAGAATGAAGGCCTGCTAGCCGTAGCGTGGTCTAGAATGGAGGCCTGCTAGCCCTAGCGTGGTCTAGAATGGAGGCCTGCTAGCACTAGCGTGGACATTTTTCTAGCATTCACCCTTGGGCTGCAGATAGTAATATATAAACACACAACTGATTGCAAGACTATGTAAATCTTTTTTTAATCTTCTTCCTATGTTTTGGAATTCTGGGGACAATCTGACTGGATATGACACTGCAGAATAGATTTAAGTCGCTGTGTTTTCTGTGCTGTGATGTCCTTGTACTGTCTTAAGTTAGTGTTGCTTTTGTTTCGTTCTCCCATGTTTGGTTGCAATTACTGACTCTCAAGCTATAGTTTGTTTTCAAAAAGGAAAAACAAAATAGTTTTTTACTGGATTAAAAATGCTTATTTTAGAATTCTCCCCTTTTTAAGGCTTTTTGGTAATAATTGCTTTTTTCCAGCCCCGGTGTGGTTTTGTTTGTTTTTTTCTATGTTTGTGGGTTTTTTTTTCATCTGTACAAGAAATTTTGTTATGCACTACTACTTTTTGTATTCTAGACAGTTTTCAAAAGTTGGCAGATTTTTTTTTGTTTTTAAGGAAAAAGGCATGCTTTCTGACTGACATGATCTTTTGCAATACCTCAATTTTGAAATATAGGAAAGAAAATGATATTTTCTAAGTAAGTTTATTCAGAAAAATATATATTAATTTAATTCTGCAAGAAAATGATTTAACAGATGGGTAACTTTATTTTTTTCATGCTTATTTGTGTTTTTTGAAAATGAAGAAGTTAGAGCTTTATAACTATAATATTAAAGATCATATCTAACCTACAGAAATCTACCTAATTATGTGAAAGAAGCAAAACTTTTTGAAGAAGCGCCCCTCTTTCATGTATTAAAATAACACTGAGATTTTTTTAAAAAGCTGGAAGATTGTACAGCATAAAGCTAAAGTGAAGACAAAAAACATTGTCCTGAAGAATAGGTTACAAAAAATAAACTCCATTTGGTGCTGAACGTTGTGAATAGATGGTGGAAACTACTTTCCCTTAATTTGTATATTTCTAATCAAGCGTTGATTGTGCGCGACTGACCAGGATTGTGAAAGAGTTCTTCTGTTTGTATTTTTTTAAAGAGAACTTTTTTAGTTTATTAAATTATAACACGTTCCCTTTTGTTTTGTAAATAAATGTGCCCCCAAGTTGTTAATGTTATATTAAAAGAGAGGGTCCTTCAAAAAAATTATTTTTTAAAACACAGAGGTGTTCTGACCTGCAACTTGACTGGGAAGCCCCTGGGTAACACAGGTCCTGCTGTGGCCTTTCCTTGGTGTGACACTTGAACTAGTCGATTTTTTGAAGGCTATAACTTAACCTCGACTATTTGTTGTTATGTGCAATACTGTTTGTACTGTTTGTATAAAAAATAGAAAAAAAAGAAAAGAAAAAAGGCATAAATCTTTATTGCAGATTTATTTTCATTGCAAACTTTAGACATTGTGATTCACTGAAATCATTTTTCTACTGTCAAATATGTACCTTTTCTTCATGCTGGTATTTTTTCAATAGTAATGTAGCCTTTGTACTGAGACAAATTTTCATTGTTATTTTTAGAAAGATTTTTTGCTAAGAAAAAAATTAAACATATTTACATATTTTTCATTTTATTTCGTATTTTCTTTAAGGAGTGCTTTCTCAATCATTAATAGAGTTGTTTCTGGGAGGGACTTTCATATCTGGTCAATGTCATAATATTATTTTGTATTTTTATTGGAATAAATTAATTTTATGATGCTAATTCTTTAAAAGTTTATTTTTTTCATTTTCAGTTATTTTTGAAGCTAAAACCTTTGTAATATTGTTACTAAAGTGTCTAGTTTTTTGAAATGCAAAGCTTTATGTATTAACTTGCTGATGTGGTTTACAATAGTGTGACAACGATGAAAATGGTTGGTTATGTAAAGTGATTGGAAATGTAACGGATAATTGGGTAATAAAATGACAGAATGAGCAGAACATGTGAGATTTTGAGAAGCCTTTTCCTTTATCACAGTGGTTTAGTGTAAGACTAGGGATGTCACAGTGCAGTTCTCTAGGGATGTCACGGTGGATTTATACAACACCAGGTGCAGCCAAACCTGTGGCCCTGAGAATGAAGTCACCCCAACCGGAATACCACCGGGTTTCAAATCTGGCTAAGTCAACAGAATGTTTCATTGCTTTTTCCCCTCTAACTCTTCATTATGTCGTGTGTGTGTGTGTGTGTGTGTGTGTGTGTGTGTGAGAGAGAGAGAGAGAGAGAGAGAGAGAGAGAAAGAGAGAGAACCTGCCACCAACTGCTGTCCTTGTGTGAGACAGTGCCTTTCTCCCAGGCCGAATCTTTTCTGTGCACTGACAGTGGTGATGTCTGAGTCATACAGGAAGTGGCTAAGAGGACACCGCCTTCGTGGCGTACTGCAGACCTCACCTGCAGGGTCTCACTCGTGCTGCCTCCCTGTAAGGCTCAGTTGGTGGCACTGAAGAAGCACACTCGGATGTCACCACTGTCTGTGGACCCTGACTATGTGTCGGGTTGCATCTTCCTCCACACCCACGCCTGCTTCCTGTGCTGGTGCCCCTTGTTTGCCTTTCATTGTGGCAACTGCGTGCATGATCTGTCTGCCTTTCTGCTGCTGCTTTTCCAACACCCTCCTCACCTGGAAGCTGTGCAGTTAAGGCACAGTCATTAATGTGTCATTGCAATAGCACCTACAGTCAAAGCAAAAACTACAACTGCAAAACTGGTGTTGCGTAAACAGAACAGCCAATGACTTGCTCCAGATAGATGATATGTTTCTACTAGTGGTTGATGGCCTCTTTCAGCTCCATCGCTGTGGAGGTGAGGTTCATCAATAACTCAGAGAAACTTGTGTCCAGAGTTGGTCTTGGGTATGCTCTATGTATTCAGTTTTGTAAATAATATATAGATTAGATCAAGTTGTGATGTAAAATTTTAACTCAAATTGGGTACTACTGGTTGGAATTTTACATTAACTACAAATAAATGATTAGGAACAGAAGAAAAGAAATCGGAAAATTCTTGCTTAGTGGTATAAAGATTATGCTTAGATTTCTGCCTATATCTTGTGTTTTATAGCTTGTTAGTGAGGCATGGGCTAATGCAGAATGTACTGCATTTATGCAATTAGCGAATAACTGCTAGTTTTCATTTTATCTATTATATTAGCAACAAAATGGCATTTAACTGGGTAAAGCTCCTACCTAAATATTTGAGTATTGTGACATCTCTACTTGCAAGGTTTGAGTGAAAGATTAGTCACAGATTAGTGAAAAAAATGTATCTTTTTGTTAAAAATGGCTTATTTGAATGGATTGTTGCTTTTCACTAGCTTGTATGGTATGTCAGCTAACATTTCTTTGTTTTTTTTTCTTTTATAATAACTAAACTTCTCTATCTCAGCTGCAATAGTGTTCCATCTTACCACAGAGTGTTTTATAATTAATGCTGTTGACTTTATACCCCAAAATGGGTCAAGAAGTGGCTATATGATTCGGGGATGTTTAAATTTGTATGATGACAAAGTTAATTGCAACAAGTAGAAAACTTGGGTGCTAATACAGGATAACTTATGCTCTTTTTCTTACCTGGATATAGTTCTGTTGGGGTATAAAGTATTAGGTATTTGTATTTTTGCTGTCAAAATAATGGACTTAACTTTTAGGGTGTTCACAGCTAAGATCTCTGTATTTGTTTTTCAACTAACAACTAATTTTAAATGTATTGTATCTTTTATTACTTGTTCTCTTAGATTGTTTTTTGCTAGTAACCCTTACTCAGCTTCTGCCTTTGGGGCTTGGACTAATATTGCTTGTATGGAACTACAGTACTGTGACTAAACATGGAGCTCAATGCAGCTACTGCTTACAACTGCTTAAACTTTGTAGTTTGGACTTCATTTTTTTCTGTAATAACAACTTATTAAATCTAGTTGTATGAAGTACTGACACTTGTCATCCTTTGCATTTGCTGAGGAATAGCTTGGAGTATATGGTTCACATCTGGGAACATTGGTGCATTCCAGTTTGCTTGATTAGTTTTTTTTTTTTTTTTTTTTTTGACAAATCCCCTTAAAGCACACTAAGTACAGCAAAATTCACCCTTTCTCTGACACAAGTAACACTCGTTTATGAAAAACACGCAAGTATATTTGCAACAAAGTATTTGTTGACACATGTGAACACGCGTTTTTAGAGGTGCAGTTGGGTTTTTATGCCAGACTTGCCACATGAAGCCAATTCTCAAAATCGCAACCAAACCTGTCAGTGGAAAGGTAGGTGCGCCACTTCGCTTTATCTTTCACACCTGGCTCTCCGATTTTTCAGAAAATGAGTCTTTTAAAAATCCTTATCGATTTTGGATGTGCTAGAAGCCATCTCCTAGGCACTGACTAATCCATTTAGAAAACGGATCACAAGTGGCTGCACCAGCGAATCTCCTTCAGGGCCTTCAGAACAAGCAAGGACCAGCGTCCCCCGAGCCTGGTCCCCGAGACAGATTCACTTGGTTTGGGCTGGGGTCTGGCCACAGGTGTTTTTAAACTCCCCAGCGATCACCCCCATGATAGGAAGCCGCTGTGTCTGTGTCTCGGGCCGGTGCAGCGCCTTCCTACTGCGGTCGAGGCCAGTCGCGCCCGTGTACGCCTGGAAGAGGACGGGGCCGCTGCAGAGCGACGTGGAGCGGCTGGGGGCGTCGGGTCTTGTCTCAGGCTCCCTCCCAGGCCGCCCCACCCGTATTCTCCCGCCCGCAGCCCTTGGGTCCCCCCTCCGGGTCCCACGTTCTGCCCCTCCCGCACCCGGGGCCCTGGCCTGGGCGGTGGCGCATTTCCTCCTGGCCGCAGCCCCTGCAGGTAAGCTCACCTGCGCCGCTGGATCGCGCCCCTCCGTGCCACCGGCCTGAAGGGCAGCTCAGGACCCACCCTGGGAGAGTCGCTCCCGGCTCTGCGCGAGGCGCAGCTTTGCACGTTGCTCTGTTCAGCACGAGCTTTCACCTGGCAGCGAGCAGGTGCCCCACTATTCACCAAGGGGAATCAGGAGGCTCAGCCCTTGTTCCGCTGGGATCAGATGGAACGTTTGGAGCTCTCGTGCCCTTTGGTCCCCCTCCCCTGACCCAAATGGGGAGAAAAATGTGTTTGAGTCCCTTTTAAGTCTGCTTTTATTAGAAATAACAACATACATTAAGGCCATAATTGAAATTCTACTTTCAGAGGTTCGGTCTGACTAGGAGCACACATTTGTCCCGATTAAAAAAAAAAAAAAAGTTACTAGCGGGGAAAATCAGTCGGTAGCCCTGGCGTTCCCTGTGCCTGAGGTCTGCAGCAGCCCCGCTTGCTAATTGCATGGCTGTGCGGGACAGGCCCCATGAGGCGGCCAGAGGTTATGTCCAAGGTCCTGGCTTTACCAAAAGGAAAACTCATCGCCAGCAGCGCGGATGGACAGTAAGCTTTAACACTAAGGCGTGGTGATGTTTCACTAGACCTTTGGCACACGTGTGTGAAGCAATATTCACATAAGCACTCCCACGCTGGAGTCATAAATTTTAAATCAAATATATGATATTAAAACTATTTTAACGAGAACTGTTCTACAAAGGGTATTGATTAACGGGGTGAGGAAAGTAATGGGATGAGGAAAGCCCAAACTGGTGGGTCCTACTGCCATTCAAAGGATTGTCAGGAGGAAAAACTCTTTCCTCTATCAGGTTTGATTGAGGGTCTACTGATTAACTAAAAATTAACAAAAGACAAAGTTTATCCATACACACATGGAAGTGCACAAAAGTGGCTTCCTCCATAATTAGAGATGGGGTTTATATAACCCACAATAAGGGAAAGAGGGGGAGCTCTCTCATAGAAAAGGGCATCTATGGGAAGATCAAGTGGTTTCTTTAGGAAAGACAAATGAGTTTTAGGAGATAGGAAAGTTTCTAGAGATGTTTATTTATGTAGGTGCCAATGGTCTCCATCCCTTTTCATGCCCACTAAAGCTCCCTGGGAGGGGATTTACGGCAGCTTCACTCTCAGAAGTTTCTGCCTTTAGTCAGATAAAGGAAGCTCCGAAAAAGCTCACTTTTGCATCTGTTGAATCTCAAATGTCTTTAGTTTAAAATAATCTTTGGCCGGTGCTGTGGCTCATGCCTGTAATCCCAGCACTTTGGGAGGCCGAGGTGGGTGGATCATTTGAGGTCGGGGGTTCGAGATCAGCCTGACCAACATGGTGAAACCCCGTCTCTACTAAAAATACAAAATTAGCCGGGCGTGGTGGTGAGTGCCTGTAATCCCAGCTACTTGGGAGGCTGAGAAAGGAGAATTGCTTGAATCCGGAAGGCGGAGGTTGCGGTGAGCCGAGATGGTGCCACTGCACTCCAGCCTGGGCAACAAGAGCTTAAACTCCGTCTTAATCATAATCATCATCATCATCTTTATATCAAGTCTTGAATTCCAAGTGGGTCTTCACAGGCTGGAGTGTTGCTGGTCACTGAAACGTAACTGAAATTTATCTGTATTCATTCCCATTACGTAGTAGTATGAAGGGAATAAAATTGAGGTTTGGGCATTGTTTGTATTTAGATAAAGAGGACTTTGCTTTAACTGCAAAAGCTCTCATCTCAACATTTAATTCTGGCCCTCAAGGGTCAGCCCAAGTCATGTCATTTTCTTCTTTGTTGTTATTGGTCAAACCTTTGGTTAAGCTGGTTTGGGCTCAGCTGTTTTTTTTTTTTTTTTTTTTGAGATGGAGTCTCACTCTGTTGCCCAGGCTGGAGGCTGGAGTGCAGTGGTATAACCTTGACTCACTGCAACCTCCGCCTCCAGGGTTCAAGCGATTCTCCTGCCTCAGCCTCCTGAGTCACTGGGACTACAGGCGCCCGCCACCACACCCAGTTTTTGTATTTTTAGTAGAGACAGGGTTTCACCATGTTGGCCAGGCTGGCCTCGAACTCCTGACCTCAGGTGATTCACCCACCTCCGCTTCCCAAAGTGCTGGGATTACAGGTGTGAGCCACCACACCTGGTCTCAACCATTAAGCTTAAGGGAAACATCCAACTTGTCACCTTCAGTGCAGGCCTAAACCAAATAACTCCCTTCGTAAGTGGAAGAAAAACTCCCTTGGCACGTCTCAGTCCCTAAGGTGATGAGTTGTGCAACCTGGTCTCTTTATTAAAGGACAGGGTCATTTTGCTCAATTTCATTACTTATGAAAACCAAAGTGCAGCTGGGCGTGGTGGCTCCCGCCTGTAATCCCAGCACTTTGGGAGGCAGAGGTGGGCAGATCACCTAAGGTCAGGAGTTTGAGACCAGCCTGACCAACATGGTGAAACCCCATTTCTACTAAAATTACAAAAAATTAGCTGGGTCTTGTGGCACATGCCTGTGATCCCAGCTACTCGGGAGGCTGAGGCACAAGAATCGCTTAAGCCCGGGAAGTGGAGGTTGCAGTGAGCTGAGTTCGCACCATTGCACTCCAGCCTGGGCAACAAGAGCAAAACTCTTGTCTCTAAATAAATAAATAAATAAATAAACCAAAGTGCAATTCCAGTACATCCCCCACTAGAATGACTAAAATTTAAAAGACACAAAATGCCACATGGTAGGGAGAATCTAGGTAAGTACTGGTAAAAGTGGAAGGTGATATGTTTAGTCCATTTTCTGCTGCTATAACAGAATACCAGAGACTGGGTAATTTATAAAGAAATTTGTTTCTCACTGTTCTGGGGTGGAAAAATCCAAGAGCATGGCCTTCTTGCTGTGTCATAACGTGGCAGAAGAGCAACTGAACACTCCAGACAGGGAGATGCACCAGGGGCCACATTTGCTTTATAACAACCCACTATCATGATAACTAAGCCACTCTCTAGATAACAACACGGATCCCTTTATGAGGGCTCTGCCCTCACAACCTCATCACCTCTTAGCTACCATTTCCCAACACTGTTGCACTGGGGATTAGGTTTCCAACACAGGAACTTCTGCGGGCACACATTCAAACTACGGCATGGTACAGCCATTTTGGAAAAGGTTTATAAAAACTGAATTTGTCTATATCCTGTGACCCACTTTTTCACTCATTGGCGTATGCCCACCAAAAATACGTGTACGTTCAAAAGACATGTACAAGAATAATCACAGCAGCAGTATTTGTACAGCCCCAAACTGAATGTCATCCAAATGGCCTACAGTATTAGAACGGATACATTATAGCATATCCACATATGGAATCCTATCCAACAGGGAGAATGAAGACCTACAACATGCCATGTTACAGAAAGATCTCACACATTTAATGCTGGTCAAAATAAGCCAGCCCCAAAAGAGTACACAGTGTACGATTCCATTTATATAAATATGCAAAGGAGTAACTGCAAGGGGGCTTGAAAGCAGCATCTGAGAGTGCTGGTGAATTTCTTGATTTGGGTGTTGGATATAAAGTGTGTTCACTTTGTGAATATTCATTGAGTTGTATACTATGATCTGTGTACTTGTCTGTAAGTTTCAATGGAGCACTAAAACAAAACAAGAAAACAGGAGTCCTGTGAAAGTTAAAAGCAGATATTGGACAAAATGGAATTTTCTTCCAAGCAACCTCCATATAATTCACTTTTTACACTCTTGAAAACCAGATTTCCTTTCTGGCTTGCCATTGCCACCAGCTGCCCACCCAGGCTGGCCTGTTTTCCTAGTCACCCAGACTTCAATTTCCCTGCCCCCAGTTTTCTTCTCTCCCCGCCTTCAGGTTCCTTTCTGTTCTTCCTTAAGCCTACCAACATCCTAGAGGAGTTTTTGAAAAAAAAAAAAATTTTAGACAATCTGGGAGAGGCATGGAGTAGAGAAATAAAGTGAAAAATTTCATCCATTAATCTCTGCAGTTGATTGTTGAGCAGTGAGCATCAAACGTTGAAAGCTAATGACGCTCGCAGTACATATACTGATTTGCCTATACAGCCTT